AAGGACATGTGACATCTGCTCTTTCACTAAGCACAAGATAGATGGGTCTTGAATTTTTTTCCATCTTGTGACCACTTATCATATATACTCTGTCTCTACCAAAACATAGTTTATATCTTAAAGCCAGGATTGGTGAGTAGGATGGTAAAATATATGATGACACTATTATGTATCATTACTCAGCTTAAAGTCGTGTTGACACCACCAAATGACCAGTCAGGCACAGCTCTATACCTCTCATCTTAATTCTGTCAGAAATTCCCTCCACCTCAACTCACTCATTTCATTAGATCCATTTCTAAGTTTGGAAAATTAACTAGAAAGACTAAATTATGGGAGAAGGGTTATAACTGTGCTGTTATCTCCTCAGAGATCCCATTTCATGCTGAAGGCCGACATCCTCGTTCCTTAATGGGCAAGAATTTTCGCTCCTACCTACTAGATCTTCGAAACACAAGCACTCCTTTCAAGGGTGTGCGCAAGGCCCTCATTGATACCCTGCTGGATGGTTATGAGACTGCCCGCTATGGGACAGGGGTAAGCTGGATGGTCAGTTTTTCCTTTATGGAGCTAAAGGGATGCCCCACACTGAGAGATCCTCACTCTTCCTTTCTCTTTCCAAAGGTCTTTGGCCAGAATGAATACCTGCGCTATCAGGAGGCCCTGAGTGAGCTGGCCACTGTGTGAGTTTGGAGGGGAACCTGTCAAAGGGGGCTGGTTAGAGAATATGGTAGTGCTGGACTGTTCCCACAGTGAGAAGACCTTCAGAAAGTAATGTGAGCAAAATCCATGATACCGTAAGGGTTGTCAGGTTCTAAACTATTAGAACTGCCTCTTGCTCACATTAGAAAGCAGTGCTACTATACAAGTTAATAAGAGAAGCTTCTACTTTCATATGCATCTTTTTCTTTTCTTTTCTTTCTTTTTTTTTCTTTTCTTTTCAACGGTCTCATTCTGTCACCCACACTGGAGTTCAGTGGTGTGATCATTGCTCACTGTAACCTCAAACTCCTGGGATTAAGTGATCCTTTCTGCCTCAGGCTCCCAAGTAGCTGGGCTATAGGCATGCACTACCAAGCCAAGCTAATTGTTCTGTTTTTTGTAGAGATAGGATCTTGCGATATTGCCCAGGCTAGTCTTGAACTCCTGGCCGCAAGCCATCTTCCTGCTTCCACCTCCCAGAGTGCTGGGGTTACAGGCATGAGCCACCACCACCCTTTTTTTGATCCAGCTCAATAAAATGTCAAAAATCAGTGTAGCCTAACAATGGGAATAAAGTTTTGCGACACACAGGGATTCTCTCTGTTCTGGGGTCTCAGTGTCATTTTCTCTTGATCTGATAAAAGAATTAAATGCCACCCATTTTTATTATCACTTAAAGCCTTAGTAACCCTGTCTGAAACAGAGGGCATCACGGTAAGAGTCAGCTGTTGAGCATTTGTGTCATAGGAGAGGAATCATGACTTTTGTTTGGGAATGTTATTAAGTACTAAACATAGCTTCACTATGGTGTTTATATAAATGGTAAAATGAAAGTTCTTGGTGAAGAAGGAAAGCCAATCTAGAGTAAAAAATTAGTTGCCAGCTATAAAAAGAACACATCTGTTTTCTGCTATGTTGAATATGACTCTCAAGAGGTAAGAGTCTTCTGTCTTCTATCCCTAGAAATTAGCTACCTTGTTCTTAAAGACAAAAAGTCCTAGTAAAAACTGCTTAGATGTCACCAATGTACACCATAGAGAATAAAAAAGAAAGAGAAAATTATAATTATTAAAGTTTCAAATAATAATTTTTAATAAAATTTTTTTTAAAAACCTGCTTAGAACAGTAATGGAAAGTGACATATATATGGAGACTGGAAAAGGACATTTGGTCTGAACGTTGGTAGGAAGCCTGTTCAAAATTCAGTATTTGTCTGTTTGAAAGACAAATACTGAATGATTCCACTTATATGAGCTATCTAGGTAGTCAAACTCAGAGACAGAAAGTAAAATGGTGGTTGCCTGGGCCTAGAGAGAGGGAGAAATGGAGAGTTGTTTAATGTGCATAGAGTTTCAGTTTTGCAAGCTGAAAAATAGAGGTTGATTGCACAACAATGTGAATATATTTAACACTACTGAACTGCAGTGTGAAAAATGGTTAAGATAATAAATTTTATGATTTATTTATTTATTTATTTATTTTTGAGACAGATCTTACTTTGTTGCCCCAGGTAGAGTGCCTTGGTGTCAGTCTAGCTCACAGCAGCCTCAAACTCCTGGGCTCAAGTGATCCTTCTGCCTCAGCCTCCTGAGTAGCTGGGACTACAGGCATACACCACCATGCCTGGCTAATTTTTTTCTATATATTTTTAGTTGTCCAGCTAATTTCTTTCTATATTTAGTAGAGACGGGATCTCGCTCTTGCTCAAGCTCGTCTCGAACTCCTGACCTTAAGCAATCCTCCTGCCTCGGGCTCCCAGAGTGTTAGGATTACAAGCATAAGCCACCATGCCCAGCCAATGTTATATATATTTTGAAGTTCTGTCTCTGATTTCTAATTTCTAGAAAGGTTCAAACCTTTCTAGTACAGTGAAAAGAAATACATCAAACTTGCCCAGGCACGGTGGCTCAAACCTGTATTCCTAGCACTCTGGGAGGCCAAGGCGGATGGATCGTTTGAGCTCAGGAGTTCAACACCAATCTGAGCAAGAGCGAGACCCCATCTCTACTAAAATAGAAATTAGCTGGACAACTAAATATATATATAGAAAAAATTAGCTGGGCATGGTGGCACATGCCTGTAGTCCCAGCTACTCGGGAAGCTGAGGCAGAAGGATTGCTTGAGCCCAGTAGTTTGAAGTTGCTGTGAGCTAGGTTGATGCCAGGGGACTCTAGCCCAGGCGACAGAGTGAGACTCTGTCTCAAAAAAATAAATAAATAAAAAAGAAAGAAATTATTACAAACTTCAGTTTAAATTCCAGGTCTGTCACTTACTGACTTTGTAACCTCACCCATGTTAATTGCTGACCCTCAGTTTCCTAACCTGCAAAACAGGGTGATAACTTATATGGGGGATATTGGGATGTTGGTAAATTAGATATTGGGAGAGCACTGGGTGTAATGTCCTAACATGTTGTAAGTACCCAATAGCTGCTTGTGTTCTTTTTTTTTTTTTTGGTATTTGGTTTTCAAGGGACTCTCTTTATGTTAGCTGTATATATACATTGAGTGAATCAGTAAAGTTAAAAGTTTTCTTTAAGCATAGTAAACCAGAGGTAAGGACTTGGTGGGAAATTGGTTTCTCTGTTATTTCTAAGCTACCAGATGGGATTTTAGTAACTAGTTTACAAGAAACGACAGAGACCATCTGTGGCTACCCTTGTATTTATGGGATGGGATACGTCCTGAATTATATTCTTTCATTAGTCCTCATTCTGTCTGTGACCTCCCTTCTCTGTATTCTTCAGGGTCAAAGCACGAATTGGGAGCTCTCAGCGACAACACCAGTCAGCAGCCAAAGACCTAACTCAGTCCCCTGAAGTTTCCCCAACAACCATCCAGGTGACATACCTCCCCTCCAGTCAGAAGAGTAAACGTGCCAAGCACTTCCTCGAATTGAAGAGCTTTAAGGACAACTATAACACATTGGAGAGTACTCTGTGATGGCGCTGAAGAACTCTCACAATAGATTGAGCCAGACAGTTGCAGACAGATTGAGCAGACAGGCTGCTTGCTGGGCAGCCCTCAGGACATCTGGTTTAGCAGGCGCAGACTATATCAGCTGAAGCTCCCATTGTGTCCAGAGTTCTTAGAGCTTGTGCCTAGAGAGTCATTCCCAACCCTTTCTTACAGGCATTTTTAGAACACTGGCTAAGATTTTATTTTCTGCCAATGGCACTTTTTTTTGGATTTAAATTCAGATGTTATTCTCAGTGTTTCTGTCAAAGCCTTCCTTAAACATCTTCACTTGGTTTCAGCCATGGTTGGTGTGCCCTGTTCCAGGGTTTTAATCCCATAGGTGAGAGTTGGAGTGGAGTGTTTTCTGTATCTACCCCTTTGTTAATGGTTAAATAGAAACTATTTGGGTATACGACATCTCAGAGTTGATTGGTGGAAAAGGCAGATAGAAACTGGTGAGGGGATGGGGTGAGAAAGTGGGTGGTATGTGGAACAACTTACCCCGGTGCTTCGCTTAAACCAAGATGTGTTGAAACGTTACACAACTTTCCTAACATGCAAGGATCTATCCTTCCACTTTCATGCCATACTCCGTTGTGAATAAAAGGGAATGTTCTGGCACCTGGTATAATCTATGCCAGGCTTTGAGATAATAGGAAGAAATGGTTTCCCCAAACAAGCCAATGCAGTGGTCTGACTTATAAATTATTTAATAAAATGAACTATTAAAAAATAAAGTATATGATTGATTCTTTTTTTTTTTTTGAGACAGAGTCTCACTTTGTTGCCTAGGCTAGAGTGAGTGCCGTGGCGTCAGCAACCTCAAACTCCTGGGCTCAAGCAATCCTGCTGCCTCAGCCTCCCGAGTAGCTGGAACTACAGGCATGCACCACCATGCCCAGCTAATTTTTTCTATATATATATTAGTTGGCCAATTCTTTCTATTTATAGTAGAGACAGGGTCTCGCTCTTGCTCAGGCTGGTTTCAAACTCCTGACCTCAAGCAATCCGCCCACCTCAGCCTCCCAGAGTGCTAGGATTACAGGCGTGAGCCAGTGATTGATTCTTTTAATCAAACAGGCATATGATATGTTCTCTGCACATATCTAACAGGATATAGGGCATAAGGATTTGCCTCCAGAGAATTGGTAGAATTGTGTGTATACCCTGGACCTAGGACCATTCAGATACTCTTTGGGACCCCAGCAGAAGAAATCCTGAAATAGGCACTGTGGCCTTTGCTCATAGACTTGCCTGCGTCACTTAGAGAAGTCTGCAAAACCAGGATTCTCTTTAGGTCTCCAGGGCAACAGGCCAGGTGACCAATCAACTCCTAGGCCCAGGGTCATTGTTGGAGGCATAAATGTTGCTATGACTACTGAAACCTTGGTGACTGAACTAAACAGAAAGGAGAGTGCCCAGTCTCCTAAGACCATATCAAGCAAGTCTGTAGACATGTCTATGGAAAAGATGACCAAAATAGAAGAGGTACGCGGAGTTGGAAAGAAGGGCTGGGTTGGAGGAGTTTCCCTTGATGAGGTTTCCAGATCAGTTTACCAGAAGTGCATCATTTTTTGGGAAAGGCTTTTGATGTAACAGAAGGATAGATTGTAGTTAGTAACAGGAGTGGGAGGCTGTATCTGGCACATAGTAGGTATTCAAATACATCCCACCTCCTGCATGTTTTCTTTGATCCATTCTGGAAGGAGTAGAGCTTTCTTCTCCCCACTGTCCCTAGAGTAGTGACTGCTTACTCTCAAGAGAAAGATGTCTCTCCCTAGAACAGGGTACTGGGGGCAAGGTACTGGAGATGAAGGCAGATCAACAGAATTCCCTTTTCTTGCAGAATTTTCAAAGGGCCATAAGTCTTAAGAGGATGGTCGACAGGTAATCTCTGCTTCTATCCCCTCCCTTTACTTTCAGCTTGACCTTTCCACTCCCCTGTCCTCCCTGAGCTACCTCCCAACTCTATTCCATCTTGTTAGGGGATTATCAAGAAGGCAAACAGATGTGGAAGGGGATAAGAAGCAATCTTGTTCTCCAAGCAGAGCTCAACCTCCAAGTGCCCACTAGGTTTGGCTGTATAGACTGTATGGTTTTTAATTGCTTCCTGCTTCCAATTCTCTGAAGGAAAATTAGAGCAAGTTTTTGTTGTCTTTTTATTTTTTAAGAATTCAAGTATTTGTTGCCTGGCTTTGTACTAATCATGTGGTAGGTATTGCAGTATTTGTTAAATGAGTCGATGAGAAACCTCAAAAGGTAGCAGTGCATATCTGTTTCACCTGGTGAGCTTTTTAAAAAGTTCTGATGCCCAAGTCTTATTATCCTAGGAGATTCTGGTTTAAATGGTCTGGGATGAAATAAGAGAAGCCTCTTTAAGCCGAATGAAGCAAATTTCTATGTGCTAATATGAAAAGTCCAAATTATTAAGTAACACTTCTTATGTAAATGTATCATCTCTCATTTAAAAAAAGATATACTTGCAAGTAAATGATAGAAAATTTTTCTGGAAGGATGCACGAGAAACTGCTAAATTCGTTGAGAAGGACTGGGGCAGAGTGAAGCTTTTACTTTTCATTTAATATATTTCTATGTGGGTTAAATTTTCTAGTCATGTGGAAAAACTACTTTTGACTTTTTAAAAAATGTCAACAGTGTATATGTGCACATACATATATGCATGATGTATATTCCTTTGATGCATTAAAAATCTTTTTTTTATTGTTTAAAAAAACCTTAATGAAGATTCCAGTGTCCAGCCAGGGTTGAAAATCACTGGTATGATAGAAGGAATATTATCCCTAGAGAAATTAGAGACCCAAGTCTGCCACTAAGTGACCTTGGGCAACTCAAGTTTCCTTGACTGTATTGTGTAAAAATCAATGCCTCTGCCACATGATTATTATAATGATTAAATGGCATAATGTATACACTAGGTTCTAAGTTACACTTTTAAGGACTTTACATCTTCTGACATTGATACAGAGGTTCTGGGTGAAGAAGCAGTCTCCACTCATGAGGTCTTTGTCTCCACTTCTAATTCTAACCCGTTCAACCTCCACCTCTGTGTACCTGGGGCAGGTGGCAAAATTCACATACTACCTGTCTGTGGCAAATGACATTGAGCCAGAGAAGAAACCCATATGCCACCCTAAGGATGCAGGAGACCATGGTACAGGAATTGGCACTGGCCAACAAGCAACTACTGATGGTGAGTTCTATTCATTACTGCTCTGTGCCTTTGCCCACTAGGATTTCCAAGCTCTTGGTCTCTGTCATTACTCACCCATCTCATTTGCATCTGAAGTTTTCACCATTACAGCAGAACAACAACTCTAACTTCAAATGCCAAAGCTCTTTTTCATTAAATGATTCTTTGCATCCAACTGACAGTGGCACATTTAAAGTCCTAAAGTGCATTCTAGTCCCTGCTCCTTTCATCTTGGTGAGACTCAAAACTGACTCTTAGTGCCCAGCACCCGCCTGTCAGTATCTCTCTCCCCCTGAGTCATGTAACCCGAGTACCTAGCAGAGTTCATGGTTTATGGTATGTTCTCAGCAAATATTTGCTGAACATGGGGCTTCACCTGTGGAGAAAAAAATTGGATAGGCTTCTCCACTGGTTCAGCCTCTCTGCTCCTGCCTAACTTTATGTCACAGTTAAGTACAGGTCCAAGAGAACACACGTAATAGGAAATCAACCAGGGAGAAAGAATGAGAAAGGGTGGTAAAGACAGGGCAAACAACACACTTTATTCTGCCCTCCCCTCCCCACCAGGTCCGTCAAGCTGCCCTGCACCAGCTGTTTGAAAAGGAGCATCAGCAGTACCAGCAGGAACTAAATCAGATGGGCAAAGCTTTTTATGTGGAGAGACTCTGACGACATCCAAAACACCGTTCTTCCATTTTCATCATGCCTGCTAACCTAGCCTTCTTGAGCCTCTACCGCCTTGAATTTCCTTCCCAAAACATTCCTGGATCTAGTGATCTGCCTAGGACTTAAGACAATGCTCCCAACTCTTGACCTCTTCACTCTCATGTCGACCCCCTGCTGCTATTTGGGAAACTATCTATGAAACAATGGTTAAAAACAAGAGTGACGCCTTGTGGTCAGAGTGGGATATACAGTGTTGGTGTAAGGGGGCGGGGAATGGGGTGGGTGGACAATGTGATTTGAGAATTGAGAATCCCAACTTGGTTTAACAAATAAAGCTAGCTCTTAGATCACTGGGCTCATTCTCTCAGCTCTAACTCTTGATTTGTTTCAAAAGTGCTTACTTCTCAGCTACCATAATCTTAACTTCCTGGATTTTGCTCACCACCTCTTAGATCTCACTTTCACTGATCTTTTCTGTAAACTTGGACAAATTGCTCTGACTGTGGCTATTAATCTACAGGAACTGTGGTGCTTGGGTGTTAGGAAGCCTGCATTTTAGATTTTGAGTCAGCTAGTTATTGTGAAACCTTGAGCAAGTCTCTTTCCTCTGGTTCTGAATTCCCACCTCTGCAAAATGAGAGAGTTCCAAACTTAAATGCCATCAGGATTCAGGCTGGTAATGTGGCAGGTGTAAGGAAATAAGGATTGGTGGGATTTGTAGGTTGCTGGGAAGAACATGCCCAATCGAAAGGCATTCAAAATTCTGAAAAATACTGAAAAGTACTGATTGATCATATGCATCCATAGGCCATAAAGAACTTCACTTATAAGGGTCCACTTTGCAAATGATGGGATGCAAATGACATCCCAAACCAAAGAGACCCCATTTCACAGCCAGTGGCAGCTGTAGAAGCACACCATCACTCCCTGATGTCAGCACCTTTATACACTACTTTGCCCTGTGCTCTCACCTCACCATTGGTGCCCTCACTGGTCACTTATTCTATCCACATGATCTTTTCCCACACTCAACTCCATGTGCCTGTGTCTCTACTGCAAAACTCACACCCTTCCTTCCCCACTCCCTGATGAATCCTGATGAATCCCCTATTATTCATCTCCTAGCTGTCAGTATTTTTCTTTTCTCTGCCCCTACACACCCCATTGATCAGGAGCACTGAGAGGCCACAGGGTGCAAGGAGAAGAACACAGGCTTTGGAGTCAGGTGTGGGTTCAAATTAAAGAGGTTTCATCTCTTTAATTCTTATGTCATGGCCGGGCACAGTGGCTCACACCTGTAATCCTAACACTTTGGGAGGCTGAGGCGGAAGGATTGCTTGAGCTCAGGAGTTCGATACCAGCCTGAACAAGAGCGAGACCCCGTCTCTACTAAAAAAAATAGAAAGAAATTAGCTGGACTATAAAAATAAGGTAACAAATATATATATATGTAAAAAAAATTCTTATGTCATCATGTGTAAGGGATTTAACTTATCTGAGCCTCAATTTCCTCTTCTGAAAATGAGGACAATAATACCTATCTCATAGGATCACTTTGATAAGTAAGATAATGTACATAGAGAGACAGAGCAAGTCCAGTGCTTAGCACACAGTAGGTATCCTCCATTTTCCCCCTCAGGAGATTTCCTTGTGACCCAGGTCCTTCAGAGATTGTTTGTTAGTCCTCTGGCCAGTCCCCTTATCCAGATCAAATGTCATTCTCCATCCCATACCCATCCTTCTCTCTGTCCCATATATCTATTCATCACCCAGCTCCCATCACTTCTAGTTCCCAAACCCTCTTTACTCAATAAATGCTCATGAGTGCTTACACCAAATGATATAGAGTTCACAGGCTGGTGAGAGAGGCAGCTGTTGAACAAGTAATGAAAAGTATGACGTGAGTTTCAAAGGAGACAAAACCACACACACATGGCCTGAATTTGACCCACAAGCCTGAGACTGGGTCTCCCATTCCTTCTGTTTCCTGCCCTGTATTTCCTGGAGGTCCATCTTGCCTTCACTTGTTTCATCTTCCCTCATGTATGTCTCCCAGGCCACCCCCTGCTTCTATTCAGGCAGTCTAGCCTGGTGTTAGGAGAAAGGCTTTAACACTGGACAGAGTTGGGCTTCAGTGCTAGCTCTATTACTTACTGGTTTTGTGGCCTTGTGCAAATTATTTTGATTTTCTGGATTACAGTTCCTTATACAGTATGTAAAAATTGAGATAATGCTCACTGGGTTGCTGTGGGGATTAAATCACTTAGTAGAGAGTCACACTTAATGTCCAATAAATGGTAACCCATGATGATATTTTCTTTCTCCTATGATAGCTTTTTCCATTTTTATATCCTCTCTATTACCTGGCCTTACCCTACCTCCCACCATGTTCCCTCACCAACCCCTTCTATTTCTCTTTTTATTTTTTTCTTTTGATCTTTTTTCTTTTTTTCAATCGCTTGAAAAAAACAAGCTCTTCTATCTCTCTGTTCCTCTTTCCTCTGTTCATGTGGACCCACAGAATGCCCCAACCCTTCTGCCTGATTCCTGACCTTGGCCTCTTACCCTAGGGCTTGTCAATGCCAGACTGGCTCCAATATTGGCAGATCAGCCCCCTACAGAGCCCATCTCCTCTGATCTTGTCTGTCTATTCTGTCTGCTCTCATTACATCACCCCATTGCTCCCACCCAGCCCCTCTTCATTCTGTGGCTGATGCCTTACCCAGCTCCTCTGGCTCAGAAAGGCTCAGTCTGTTTGAAATGGCTGAATAGGAGAGCTGAAGGGTCTTCATCAGAGGCTATCTGATGTTTCTTCCTAGTTATGCCATTCAAAGTTTCCTTCCAAGACAGCTGCTCCTCCCCTACATCAGTATTCCCATTCTGCCTCTGTTCCCCTAGTACCCCAAACACTAAAGTCCTTTCAATTCCTGCTAGTCTCTTTCTCAGCTTCTCTTCCTCTAGCCTCTGGTTCTCCAATGTGGGTAAGTTTCTTAGAGAAAGGGACTAGAATTTGGGAGGTTAAGAATAAGAAAGTAGGCCAGGCGCAGAGGTTCATGCCTGTAATCCTAGCACTCTGGGAGCCCGAGGCGGGCGGATTGCTCAAGGTCAGGAGTTCGAAACTAGCCTGAGCAAGAGCAAGACCCTGTCTCTAACTATAAATAGAAAGATGGCCAACTAATATATATATATATAATGAGCCGGGCATGGTGGCACATGTCTGTAGTCCCAGCTACTCGGGAGGCTGAGGCAGCAGGATTCCTTGAGCCCAGGAGTTTGAGGTTGCTGTGAGCTAGGCTGACGCTGTGGCACTCATTCTAGCCTGGACAACAAAGGGAGATTCTGTCTCAAAAAAAAGAGGAAGAAAGTAAAAATCACACACACCCTTTGGGAGGAATAAAGGAACAAGGACATAAGATAACATCATAGTTGCCTGCCTTGGGGCCTGTATGCTCATTTGTTAGTCTTCCCCTGGAAGGCAAGAGCCACACAACAGGAATTGACTGGGGCTTGGGACAAGCTATCGATCTAGATCAAGGACACTGTGGAGTTGGTGTATGCTGGGAGGGGAGGTGTCCAGAATGGGAACAAGGACACATCGAACAGGCCTCGGGGCTGAAGCAGAGTGTCCTCCTCCCACCCCCACCCTTCCCTCAAAACCCCCAGCCCCCAGTGCAGCTATAACTTGGGCTCCTTTCTGCCACAGTGGAGAGAAGCATCTGCATGCTACGTGACATTCAACAAACCTGATTCTCTTCAAAAGAAAAATCCCCCAGATGGGAACCAGGCTGGATCTCTGTAAGGGAAGACCTTGGAGAAGCCAGCCCAGGAGTTCTTGTCATAAAAAGCCCCAGAAGAGGAGGGGAGCCCTAAGGACTGCAGGCTGCTTCTTGGCAGAGGGAGTTTCCTCCTTTGCCCTTGATCTAAAGGCTTAGTTTCAATTCTGCCAGGAAGGGGGGAACCTGCCTTCTCTTCTAGAGCCCATGCTGGAGCCTGCCAGTGAGACAAGTTGTTCTTCTGCACATCCAAGGGTGACTTTAAGGAGGATACCTGGAGGACATGGGGAGAAGGTGAGAAGGGATAAGATGGAGGAATGAAGAAGCCAAGCATTTTGGAAGTTCCTAATGGCTACTTATCTGTAGCACTTGAGAGCAGAAGGATACCACAGTGGTGTCCACTAAAAGGACTTCATCAGTCTTGTGGGGGTGATCTGGAAAGGTTAAGAATTCTGTTGGAAAGGTAAAGCAGGATATACAGGCCCCAAACCCCACCCCCGGAAAGCCTCAGGGCAGCTGGAATGGCCTTGAAGAGAGCAGATGGCAACTTTGATGAGGAGCTGCTGACACTGCTGATCCTCTGGGCACTGGAGCCGTGACATCAGGGGGAGAAACTCCATGTGGGAGTGCTGGGGAACACGATAGGTGTCGGATGTGGAGTCCTGCCAGGTATTCTTCCTGGTTTAGGCCAACGTGATCCAGCAAAGGGCAGGCACTTATAGGAGAGGAGCTAAGGCAGGGATGGCACGAAGGGCACGTGAGCAATAGCTGGCTGTGTTGGGAGGTGAAGACCACAGGCCAGTGCCCTTCCTCAAGGAGATGGCTCTCCCTCTAGACAAGATTGGTGCCTGGTGTCTCTGCTCTGGCCTTTCTTTGCAATGGGCAGGAAGGCAGATGACCACCAAAGCCCTCCTGCCTACTTCTGTGTGATATGTTTGATATTGGGTTGTTTAATTAGGAACCAACTAAATGTCAAACATATTCTTATAGCAGTAGGCAACTCAGCATCACCCTCTTTCCTACCTCAACCTTTGGGGTTCTGGGACTCCTGTTATTTTACTGAACCTTTTGTCTCTAGGACTTCTCTTGAAAGACCAGTAGCTACAACCTATGTAGATTTCAATATTAATGTAAAGTGCTGGTTCGGGAGTGGGAGACAGCTGGAATTTGAGGATCACTTGCCCCCTTATGCTAAAAGGGATTATATCTCTTTTCCTAATTTTCTCTTGTCCTTGTTTTTTCTCCTCCTTATTCCCCACCCCACCCCCATTATCCACTGCTTCTTTTCCCTGGGACTCTCTTCTTCCCTATGCCCTTTCCCTGGTTAGTCTCCAAGGAAAGGAGACTTGGTTTCTCTGCTTTCCTTCAAGATTGAGCTGATGGTTTATCTGCCTATCTACCTCTAGAGACTGGAAAGTCTCAAGAATGGATTCTAGCTCTGCTCTGCCATCTGTCCTGGTGGGCGTCTCAGTTCCCCCTTGCTGGGGCTTAGCATTAACACTATCCTTGACATAATGACTAAGTAGAGCCATTTATATTCTTCCCTGATAGCTCTGGTCTCCATGAACAGTGCCCACATCTCCCCTGCCATATTCTCAGGTATATGGTGCCAGTGTACTCGGGGGATCAAATGCCACCTGTCAGTAACAAGCCTCGCAGTAGAAGAATAAACATGGCCTGGAACTAAACTGGGAAGAATAGAGCTAGTAATGATGATTATGATGATGCGATGGGTTGTGGGAAGGAATAGTTAAGAAGTGAGGAAATGAAGAGAAGAAGAGTAGAGAGAACACAGACCTGTGTAGGCACAAAAGTTCTATTTTAAGATCACTATGGGAAAACAGAGGGCATGATCCTGTTGGATTATTCTGACCCTTCTCTGTTTCTCACCCCACCCCACTTGTAGTTCTGAGATTGCCTTCCAGATCCCAACACTATCCTTTTACACTATTCCTGTGGCTCTTAGGGGGGAGAAACAATGTCTCCTGGCTGATTAGAGACTCCCAAAATAGCATAGCAATTTGATCTGGAGATCTGGGAGAACTGTCAAGGATCATGAGGGACCTCCCCTCTTCACTGTTGCCCAAGCTCACTGAATACCAGGAATCAAAAGATGAAACTCAACCTGTGGAGTTTGACCAGCATCCAACACAGTTTAGGGGATTGAAAGGGGGAAGCTGAAGGGCAACTAGGACCCTCTGGACAAAAACTGCCATTCTAGAATCATGAAAATATCCTTCTCTATTTCAATGTTCTCTCCCCTCTTTATGCTCTTTCCTTTTTTTCCTTTTTTTTTTTTTTTATTAATAAGCTGAACTTTGGGCCGGGCGTAGTGGTTCACGCCTGTAATCCTAGCACTCTGGGAGGCCGAGGGAATCGGATTGCTTGAGGTCAGGAGTTCAAAACCAGCCTGAGCGAGACCTCGTCTCTACTAAAAAGAGAAAGAAATCAATTGACCAATTAAAAACATATATACAAAAAATTAGCCGGGCATGGTGGCACATGCCTGTAGTCCCAGGTACTCAGGAGGCTGAGGCAGTAGGATTGCTTGAGCCCAGAAGATTGAGGTTGCTGTGAACTAGGCTGATACCACCGTACTCACTCTAGCCCGGGCAA